GTGCAGACGTCTTAACCACTCGCCCACCGAGCTTGCCGGGGTCGGCTGGCTGGTCCGAGTCAAATGAAGCAGCGGGTACCGCGAACTATTTTCAAGATGTATATACGTTGGGTAAGGGCAAACCCGTTATATATAATTAACATCTCCCCAACGCAAAAATACATCTTGAAAATTGTTAAGTGCTGTTTTGTCACCACTCTCTTTGGAAGTTGAAATGTTTACGAACAGTGTGCAAACTTTTGGGAAAATTAACTGCAGTCGTAGTCTTGAGGTTAATACAGGGGGTGGTGTTGAACTTGGCAGACTCATCGTTACAGACTCCTTGTTTGACAGACATCAAAGGGAATGGATTTGTTTTCTCACCAAGAGAGGAGTGTCTTCTGAAAGTGACAGCTGTTTCCTCTTTCCATCGGGAAACCGAAGCATCAGCTTGGCTTGAGTCTGCTCCTGTGACAACCCTGGACGTGAGCAACAATCAGCATAGTGTCTGAATCCTTGTGTATAGGAGATAGCCTACTCTACTGTGTTACAGGGGCGGAGCTGAGTCACATTACTCATTTATGCATTAATGAGCTGTTCAATGTGAAAAGGGCTCAAAATAATCTTGGAAGAAAACAAAAAGACTTTTTTCCTGCATTGACAGATTACACACAGACCAGCACGTAGATTGTGACTCAATAAGCAGGATACAAAGTACCACTAGTCTTCTAGTAAAATTACCATTTTATCTTCTTTAATAAGTAGAGCATGTTTGTTTGCACAATGAGATTCCTTACCAACCAAAGCCACTTTCCTCTACCTATTCCTAGTCTACCTGGATTCAAATTATGAAGATACATTACTAAAATTGGTTGATATGCCTGTAACTCTGCTTACCATAGACATCCCACAAAAACTAGATTACTGGCCCTCAAACCACACCAAGCCTTTGGAAAAAACTTACAGACTTAAGGTTTCAGAGTATTTTAATCATTCCACATTTAGTACAGAAAACTTTTGTTTATTTTGACAGGAAATTTTTAAATAATTGGCACATTTACACATTAATTAGATGCTACAAGCGTGTAACACTTTTCTCCTAGTAGTTCTGTGAAGTATTTGACCAAATAAGGTCATCCAGTCAATACAGTCAGTTAGAAAACCACTTACAATACATGTATGTACGTGGAAGGAACAAAACCAAATTAAAAGCAATTTCTAACAAACACAACTTCGTCAAATGCTCTGCAATGACAGGTGCCAAATAACCGAAGGAATCTTACGTTTTGTAACTCAGGGGAATAAAATTGTAGCTGAGCTGTATGAAACCACTCGACTCAAAATATTAAACTTACCTGCATCGACTTCAGACTTGCCATTCTTCACACCAGTTTCAGGCATGTCGTCTGTCCTATTTCCCACGATTCTGTCCAATGAGTTGGATGATTTCCTCTCGAAGTCTTCATCCAAATCCCCACCCTGTTTTTCCCCGTCATTGTTGATGTCGAGTGTTTGAGTTCTACCTTCTCCGTCTGTAGAAACACTCCCGTTTAATGAAGAAAGCACCGCCGGGGTGGCCTTCTCTGAGTTCTGTGAGGATGGGCTCGATGACGTCCTGACATTCTGCGAACTGCCGTCGGTCACCGACTCAATGATGCAATCCGAGTCACTGCCGGTATGGCTGGAGTTGCTCTCAACGTTCACGATGACATCATCCTTCTCATCTTCCTCCTCCTCAACTTCATCGTCTTCGTCGTCGGAGAGACTGATTGTGTTCTGCGTCCTCATGAAGGATGACGCAGCGGACGAGTTCTCGCTGGGTTGGGTGCTTTGGGAGGAGGAGCTAGTAGATTCGGCTAGGGAGGCAGCGATGGCTGCTTCTAGTTGGCAATCTTCACTTTCATCTAAAATGCTCGTGGACTATATCACGGAACAGAGATGAGAGAAGTGGCCAAATAAACATCGACTCCACAGAAAATAACAAGAAATTTACAAAGATAAAATAAAGAGTCAGTATATTCACTGGAATTATATGAGAACTTAGTCTGGCTGTTCCGGTTGCTGCTTGAGTAGTTTGGTGCTCAAAAGTTGCCATCAACATTGTCTGTACAGCAGACATTTTGTCCATCTGTTAGCACCAAAGTGTGTCAACCACGACCAAAAAAATTTATGGAGAACAGAACTTCTCAGAAGTGAAAGTCTCCTAATGTTTCAATCATGTTAGATATCTGGATATTTCCTTTAATACTGAGAAGGGTGTTGACTTAAGGGTTTGAAGTTGTGAAATTGAGGGCTGATGCTAAAGCATGATGGTGCCAATATGACTGCAAAAGATACTATCTGATTGTGTCCAAGATATAGGAACTCAATTTCTGCAACAACTGGTTCAACTTACCGTTCTGGCTCTTTTGGCAGGTGGTGATGACAGCGTATCCTTGTCGAAGCATGGATGGTCAGAAAGGAACTCCATGACTATGGAAAGAAGGAAAGCAGGATTGTGAACAGTAGGTATAATTTACAAACGCAGGTAGTTATTGCCAACTGTTGATGGCTGTGATGTGGAATATGCTGGTTTGAAAACACATTCATGATGTTTCTTGAAGCAGTGCCTGGTGAATGAGGTGTCTTAATTTAGAAGTGGCACTAAAACAGTAACGTGATTGTTTTGCGTAGAAAAAAAAAATACTCACCAAGATCACAAAATGATATGCTATCAAGGTTATTCCAAGATACAAGAAGCTCACCTGGATGGGGTTAAGAACAAGTATAAATTGTAGGGAAACAATCAGTCATAACCAAACAGAAAGAAGAAACACCTCCAAATTTGTACATCTCATGAATAATGAAGCCATTCTGAGTCCGTGCTGTTTTGTGGACTGTCACCTGTTCTGGGGTCCAGAATGGCTACATGAGGGAACTCTCTGACCCGATAAAACTGCATGTATCTGCGGCCCTCATCACTATCGTGATACACCTGAAATGAAAAGAAAAGGCCACGGCTGTATACATCAATCCATTGCCCATAAAGAAAAGCCCAATATATGAACAAATAGAAGCAAAAAAAAAAAAAACACACACAAGCAGTGTAATAAAATTTGCTTCCCAATTCACTGCACATGCCCCGTAGTAGAATCAAATGCAAACTTGGTGAGCATAGTTTGTTTTTGAACATCACTGCCACAGAGGCAAAGCTGGAAATTAAAAAGATGTACGGCCCGCTCAGAATGGGCAAACGGTGCGTGGGATTAGTTCAACTTCTCGTGCTTTGGATATGTCCTCTGTGTCTCTTTCATTGGGCTGACCATTATGTCATGTGCAGGTAATTTTGGGGGTAATACACTGAATTATTGAGAAGTATTTTGCGACGTATCCTCTTCTAGCAAATGGCAGCAGAAAAGTAGGACCTAAATTCGAGTGCTGTTTCTTCGTTGGAAGTGTCCCTCTCTCATAGAGATTTCTTTTGAAGTTTGGACTTTTCAAAGGATCAGGTAAAGCTATGTGTTACCACGGTAACAGACTGACACCTTATTTGGGGTACAACATGGTCTAAAAAGTCATTGAAATTGGTAACCAAAAGTCGTCATGCACAAAACAAATTGTAAAGATAGGGGCCTTGCTGTCTGTGTTGGCTGCTTTCCAACATCACTGCCTGCACAACAGTGCCCGACATGACTGTTTTCTATTTGAAATTCGAAAGCTCGGAACAACAATTGCACAAGGTGTAATTTAAAAAGCTCCATAAACCTGCAACTACCTGCCAGAATATGAAAGACTCCCTGATGATGCTGCGGACCGTCGGGTCACTCCACACGTCCCTGTTGAGTTTCTGACAGCTGAACTCCTGCACATCTTGGACGTTGACAATGAGCCATCGCCCCTGGCTCTGACCGGCCTCTCGAGCCTGGCAAATACCAAATTGATATTAAACCTGGCTTTCATCGTCAGGCAAAAGAAGCAAAATACATGTATGAGCAGTATCATGCCCAAGAGTTATGTCTACATACAACATCTTTTCAGCATTTCACTATCTTCACAGTACATGAATATTTTTGGTCTTCAACATCCAAGGTACTATATTCGATACATATAGCCCCTCAAATGACATGACAGAGAGTTCTACATGTAGCTGTCAGTCACCACGGTAACAAACTGGGCAATATTTCCAACAAAGTTGTATTTAGCACAAAGGTCTGGATGCAGATCTTGGGCCAACAATTCCAACTTACACAAAAATAAAATCAAGTTCACATAAGTAACACCAAAATTTGTGCACTTTTTTGAGAATGCACGTCCTTCTTATCTCATATATTTCACCTTTCGAGTTGTTCTAACTGTAAGCTGAACTGCAATGTGAAATCACATGTTTCTTGAATCATCTCAAAAACAAACTGCATGTGGCGATGCGGTCATCGGGTACAAACCGTATTGAAGGTGCCTTTGTGCATCAGGTCCACTGGGGGTCGGAACAAGTCCTCTAGGGTACGAATCTTTGCTGACTGGGGTATTTGATTGCCTTGGTTACGAATCATCGCTTCCTGGTGCCCTGCCGCAAAGATCAGTTTTTTAAATAATAAGATACACTTGAACCTCATTAGTTACATTTCCTTAGGAAATTTCAAATTACCTTGTTATAACAGGAACCTTGTATTATCAGGATTGAACACAATAAAGAACAAAGGATTCCGACAGAAACAGTTCCTTGTGAGCAGCATGTTGTATTAGTAGTACTTTTATTAACAAGGTTCGCACTACATGAAAGTGTTGTTGGCTGACGAGGGTTTTCACTTTCCTATCCTAACGGAAACACACTAATGTTTAATTCCCAAAAATATGGCTGGAGAAAAAACGACAACAAACATTTCTAACTTTCTAGTAAAAACATTTAGCTATTAATTACTCTTCAGTCAGTCACGAGAAGTGAACAAGTTTTTCGACAATATTCTGTACTTTGTCCATGCAATGTTAGTACTGTGCGGAAAAGTGGTTGGTCAACGCCAAACATTTTATGCGCGACATTTAAAACAGTTTTCCTTTCTGTTCTGTCTTTGTTTGGGGAAAGGCCAGGGTTATAGCCGACGGACCTTCAGTCAAACCTTTGTGTGGATTATGTTGCTCAAGGAAACCAGTTGGTAAAATCCTGGTGTCCTGTAACCCATGTCTTGCTCATGTTACAACAGCTTTCCCTTTGCTTTGTACTTAGGGAGGGAAAAAAATGACTCCATGTAATACGTTGTAAAGAGATCTGGGATTCTTACGAGTTTCGGCCTGGAAGTCCCTGAACTTGTCAAAAATTGATTGTCCTCCTCTGCGCCTTGGCCGAGGACCTTGAAGACAAAATCAAGCAGAGACAAATTTAATAAATACATATAAATTCTCTTTCAACTCAAAGTGAGAGTTTCTGATCTCAGCACTGAAATCCTGGCTAAAACTTTGGAGCTTACCGAAAGTTGGTACATCCTGAACCAGAATTTCTCTCTTCTGGGGTATGGGTGCACGGACACTGTCACTGATATAACACAAAATGGACAATGATAATGCTGCAGATATTAAGTTTGAAATGTTTATCCTACTTCAAGGCTAATTATGACTCTAGAAACTGTATACAAGTATACAGGTAATTCCAGAAATTAGGGGTCCATTTTTTTTTTTGTGTCCCTGTCACATCTGACATACGATTGTGTAAGTTCCAAACCCATTTCCTAGTTTCCATGAA